AGGTGAAGAAAAAGTGAAGAAGAAGCTGCTGCTGTGAACTGATATATTCGAGGCTCGCTCGAGCGAAGGAGTGGTCGCTCGAGCGACCAGACACAAAGAAACCTCGCTCAAGCGTAGAAAGCCTCACTCGAGCCAACAATTCGAAGCTTCAGGTCTGCAACCCAGAAGCATGCTCAAGCGAAGAAAAGCTCGCTCGAACGAAAAAACCCAAAACATAGACCTCGCTCGCTCGAGCGAAGGAAAGCCCGTTCAAGCAAAGAATTACAACCTTCAAGTCCAGAACCAGACGCAGACGCAAGCTCGAGCACAAGACTTCTCGCTCGAGCCACCAGACACAGTACCCAACTCTCGCTCGAGCGAAGGATCTAAAACACAAAGCTCGCTCGAGCGACAAAAGTCTCGCTTGAGCGAAGACATCAAAATCTGAACAGCAACCATTTGTTTGAACTCACTACCAACCTGTAGCAAACCTGCCCAACACATCCCAAAACTCGAATATAGAGAAATAAAGGATGACAACAAGATATATACAACAACCAACACCACGGAACCTAAGTCCGAAATACTGTACAGAAAGGGGAAAATCCGGGATCGCTATAAATTATATGAAAGACATTATAAAATAAACGGTTTAAATTACCGAAATATGATCTCAAATTGAGATGTAAAATTGATAGAAGTCCAATCCTTTTTATATATTTTTTCTTTATTAAACATGAAGTAATAGCATAATAAAAAGTGTGTTGAAATCTCAGTGTGTACAACCATTTTATTTGGTAACCTAAAAAAGTGAATATTTTTAAGGGTAAATTATAAAATAAAAAATAAAAAACCCTTCAAAGTTTGAGTCGTGTAATAAAATAAATTATGATTTTTTAATTTTGTCAATTTAAATTTTATATTTTAGATTTGTTTTCATTTGCAATTTTTGTTAAATAAAATCGATGAAAAAGAATATTTTAATCATTGAACTCGTGAAAAAATATATTTTAGATATTTTATGTATATTTACATTGAATTTAAATACTAAATACTCTTTTTTTAGTCGGTTTTACTTAACGAAAATAGGCGAATAGTTTAAAATGAAAATAAATCAAAATATATGGGTTCAAATTGACAAAATTAAAAAATCAGAGCTTATTTTGTTATAAGGCTCAAATTATGAATTATTTTTTTTATAATTATCCCTATATTTAATTATATAATGCATATACATAATTTTTCATGTTTGAAGTAGGTTTAATTTTTGAAAAAAATATCAAATCAGTGGTATTTTAAAAATATAATTACAAATCAAAAATAAAATTTTTAAATATTAATAATTAAAATTTTTAATTTTTGTATGAATATATATATATATATATATATTAAATTCCACTGAGGTGTAATGGACCATAATTTTTATTTATTATTATTTTGTTTTCGCTCCTACTTTCGTCACAACAAAATCAGTGCCTTCGTATCAAAAAGAAGCAAAAAAAAAACATGTCGTGCTACATTCTCAACACCTGGATATGGGATGACTGCTATGTCTTATGAACAATGGTCCTATTGTGAGCTTTCATGGCAGATAGTTTTGGACTTATTTTAATAATTTGAATTATTTATATTATAAGATTTGTTAAATATATTATTCATGTTTAAAATTCAAGTTAATTGGATATACGTAACCCTATAATCGGATTTTAATTATTTTTAAAAATATTATCAAAATCATGCTAGTTGTTTAATTTTTTTTTCTTTTTTATTTTTTTTTCAATGTGGTCTTGGTGTTACAGATATTCGATTAACTTCATTTTGTTTTTATTAATAATTTATTCGACGAATTTTACAATATAAACGGTTCGAATTATCAAAATAAGTTTCGGACAAGGCCGACAAATCTCAGAGCAATTACTGTGCCCCTTGGTTTCAGAGCAGTTACTATTGTGTCATACTCACAGCACCACCTCAAATCCTCAAAATTGTATCCATAATTGAAATATGTAATAAATTTATTTCGAATACAACTCACAACACACCAATTTTAAATCTACATTTTACATTTCACTTTCATGATAAAATTTTGATTTAATTTTCGTAGTAACTAGAATTATTGAGAAAATTCATTGAGAAATCCATTAATTTCTAGTGAGGTGTATGACATTAGGTCTAAGAATTATTTTATTTTTGGTTATAAGGATATGATTAATAAAATTATTCAATGAGAAAAACAAATTTATTTTGAATAATAATATTTTTCACTTTTAGCCACTATCGCTAGACTATCGATCGTCACTCACTAAAAAAGTTGCCAAAAGTGGCTAGTGGCGTAACGCTTCCAAAAAATACAATAAATCCAATCTATAAGTGGGAGAGTAATAGAAACAATATGCTTTCATTAATCGAAATTGATATACAAAAGTAACACATACATTCATAAACAGTTCATCATGAATGTACAGCACGTGTTACAAGTAGTAAAGAGAAATGAAAGTTAAACAGATATTTATATGCCCTAAACGCTTACATCTTTCCAAGTCATGGCTTGATTACAACAAAATTGAGACTAGTTCAATACAAATAAAGTCCTTGGCTATACAAAAGAAAATACGACAAAAGGAAACTCTCGCTCCAAAGTTCCTCCAAGCTATTGCCTTAGCAGAGGCATATCACCAACACCTAAAAATTGTTTTTCCTAGATAGGGTGAGCCAAAACCCAGTAGAAACAATCTAACACAACATATGAATTTTAACAAAGATATAAGTACAATGTGCATATACAATGCCTGTGTCAAATCATTCATAATCTACAAGATCGTAAAGTACCAAATTTTATATCTCAATCTATTTCCCTCCAATTCATTTCAAGTTAATTCATTTCATCTCAATTCATGAGCCAATTTCATTTTCTTCCAGATAACCCAACCGAGACTACAATTCAGTGGTTCTCAAATCAACACAACTACCATACAATTACTTCAAGTTGTCATTTTACGGAAATTTCGTCCGCGGAAATCAGCACCCATGTATACGCGCAGTTTCGGGACTTTCACTCTGGACACTTCGGCCAACTTAATTTTAATAGAGTCCATTTCCTATCTCCTCCCAAAACATGGAGTACATCCCCTTTCTTCTCTCAAACATCATACATATACAATGTATTTAAAACATAGTCATATTCAATGACAACCAATAAGAGATTAGTTTCAATTTACCTAATCCTCATGCAATTTCTACAACAATCATAATTATCCTCCGCCGATAGCCTAATACAGATATTTCTAAACAGATATTCAATCTCAAAACATATAATTTACTCAAATTTCAATAGATGTGGGATAATACATATCCAATTCCACCATTTATACCAATATTCATCCAATTTCATATCTACAACACCAATTTCATTTATTTATACAAAATAAATATTTAAACCATTTTAAGGCAAACTCCCTTTTTTCCAAATATCAACCTAAATGCCAAAATCAACTATTTTGCCACAAGAAACCTCATATTCAAATCCCACAATCATCTATATCACATTCACTTAGAAACCCCTCTTTTGATTTTTAAACCCAAACCCTAGGTTTGCCTATAAGACTCCCAAATCTCACCATTGTTACACAACAACAAATAACTAAGCTAAAAACTATATGAAAGTGTAGAAAATCCCTACCTCAAAGATAGAAGACAAGCCAAGCAAGGTTGAAACTCCAAAGACACCGAAACCCACTTTTGTTCGAATGAAAAGAGAGCTCACAACGTACTCTACCTTTTTCTCAAAGGCACTAGGGTGAATAACCCAATGGATCTAGGTGAAATAATAGAGGGAATATGAGTTTTAGAGAGAGAAACTCAAGATCTAGGGTTTTGGACAGTTTTCGAGAGAGAAATGAAAAAGTGATGTAAAAAGTCATTTTCGTGATCTGATATACGCACAGTGCGCTCAAGCGCAAGAAGTGTCGCTCGAGCACCAAGACACAATAAAAAAGACGCTCACCACTCGAGCACAAGAGGTAATGCTCGAGCGTAGAAAACACACATCCAGTAGTTTTGCAGGCAACAACCAACGCTCGAGCTCAAGAAGGGCCGCTCGAACGCCCACCCACTCGAGCGTAAGAAAACGCTGCTCGAGCTTAGAAACACTCTCCCAGTAGTTTTGCAGGCCTGTAAAATACTGAGAGTTCGCAAAGCCCGCTCGAGCGCAAGAAGTCCCGCTCAAGCGGAGGACCAAAAATCTGGGCAACACAGGGTTTGAAAATCAAGCAACCAACTTATTCCAAACACGCTCGATACAACCAAATAGCCAAAATCAAATAAAAATAAGGGAGAAAACAACAATGAACAACCTTCAGAAACCACAAGCTTGAGCCCGGAGTACAACAAGCGTCGGGTCAAAATCGGAATCGCTATAAGTGGCATCTGGCATTGGCTGATGGTGGCGATATAAACAAACACATAGATTATGTGGATAAGCAAGTGACACTAAACACTTAGGTGGAGTAGTATAAAGATAAATAAATAAATTAGCTTAATACAGTGTTTTAATTTGTTATTGTCCTTGTGATCTCAAAAGATTCAAAATTGTATTTATGACTTGATTGCCCCAATCATTGATACAAGAATTATTCAGTGACTTACGGCTTTGGCAAAAATGGATTTCAACAATAAATGACAGATCCATCTATAATACTATTTCAAGTAACAATTACAGAGCAAATACAGATCCATCTATAATGCAATTTCAAGCAACAATTACAGAGTAAATACTTATTTAAGAATTATATCAGCATCTTCTACAAGAGACTAATTCATTCATATATGTAGAAATATAACATACAAGAAATTTGTAATCACATACATATGCCAGTGTCATAACTCCCAAATTGTATCCAGACTCATAAAATTTAAAAATAAAAATAAAAATAAAAAAGACAATTGTCAGTCACTGCAAGCCTAAACAGCACTACTAAGAGGCCAATGCTAGCAATCTATGATAATAAAATAGTGAGTGATAATCACTTCCATTTTTTGAACTTTCCCCCACGCTTTTTGGACCTTACAGGATTCCCACGCTTAAACTTTCCTTGACGGCTTCCATGCTTCCCAAACTTTCCTTGACGACCATAGTAACCTCCATGGGTAAGATTATGGGCTCCGTGTGATAGCTGGTGGGCCGCATAAGCTGTAGCCACAGCAGCAGCACCACCAGCTATCAATGGTCCCAAACTAGGCCCATAACCTGTACAAAGAAATTACAAGCTATCGACAATGGAAAAAAGAAATACAACATTGTAGCAAGCAAAACAAACAGCACTCTCAATCTGTACACTTTAGAGTCAATGATCACGAGGACCTTACAGAGATGTAATTTTAACAAGCAGATTATATTGAAAAAGTAGATGTACGAAAAGGCCGAGAAATGACAGAGAAATACAGTTCAATAATGAGACATGAAGATTTAACAGTCTTCCAAACCCTAAAATTATCAAAACCAGTATTTCATACAAACAATTATTTCTGGTTTTAATCAAAACCATTATTTCATGCTTTGAGTTCAAAAACAATGCATAAACACGTGCAAAACAATTGAAAGTTCTAGGAGCAATTAAAATATTATTCACTAATGTCTTGAAGGTGGTAATGGAAATTCACCTTTACATCTCAGTTGACTCCAAATCCTTAAAAGAATTTTGGAAACAAATGAATCGAAGATACCTGGATAAGGCGGAGCTGATGGACCAAGATAATTTGCTGGTGGATATCCATGTGGGGGAGGATATGCTGACGGACCAGGATAACCTGCCGGTGGGTACCCACCTTGGAAAGGATATCCAGCTGGTGGGTATCCACCAGTAGGAGGATATTCAGTTGGCGAGTAGACCTGAGGCGGATATCCTTGAGGAGGATATGCCCCAAAAGACGGAAGGCATTGTCCAAGAGCATAGCCAGCAAAACAAGAGAAAAGTCCTCTGTCACTAGATCCATCATCATTGTAATTTCCACCTCCCATTTTTCTCCAGCTTGAAATTTATGAACTGAAAATGTAAATAGAGAACAGTAGAACATATAAGATTTTTTTCAAGGGGGTAAAAAAAAAAGGTGTGCCAATTGTTCCTTAGAATATCATATGTACTTAATGCAGGACTTTGGCATGGAAATTTTATATATTTCATTGTCTTTAATATTTATATTTTTTATTTTTAATTATAGTTGTATTTTTTAACGACTATGTTTCAAATAGTGTTAGGATTTAGTTTCCTAAGTTGGTTAGGGCTTTGCATCATAACATTCAGCTTTGAATTAAGAATATTGAGTGAGGTTGTGATTAGAGTTGTGGCCCTTGTGTACTTCCTCTCTCCCTTCTTGTCTATCCTCTTTCCCGACAGTGCTCTACATCACCACAACTTCCTCATCTCAACCCATAATGACTTGATGCTTTTGTTCTCCATGAATGCATTTTTCCAATATAAAAAATCACATTTCAGGAACTTATTGTTCATCCAGAAAAAATGATATTATCAAATAGAAACATAAGGAAAAGAAAAATGGGCAGAGATTTAGCAAAGAAGACACATCATATGTCTTAATTATGCAAAGTATATGAATTGTTTCCTGGTTTTACTTTTGTGGCAGAGTCAGACGGGATTGCAAAACAATCTACATAAATAAATGGAGAACGATATTCTTCTCGGTGAATAAAATTATCAACTCCTAACAAATTTTTTGTTACAAACACCCAGCAAAGAAGTTTGCCTATGCATGTATTCTAAGAAAGTTCATCACATTGATGTTTGAATATATTCTATCATATCAACCAAAAGCGGATCCAAATTAGACATCAAAGATAATTCTAATATATTAAAAGTGAAGTTCACAGAAACAAGTGAAGCAAACTGAAGAACTGTTCCTTAAGATTACTGACTCATTTTTTCATTACCACTACTAGCTTACATGTTTATACTAAAAACATAGTCAAAATTTAAAAATCGAATGTGTAGAGAGAGGGAGAGAGAGAGAGAGAGAGAGAGAGAGAGAGAGATTACCGAGTTGAATTGGGGATTCAAACCCTAACGAGCTGGTTTGGGTTGGAATTGAAAGTTGTTCACAAAAATCAGAGAGTACGTTTCGAATTGGGGTCTCTCTTTGAGAAGTGCTTCAACAAGGATAGATGCTTTGTGATAAAAAGTGAATGTGTGATTCGACTGTCTTTCATTTCATCTCCTAATTGCGCCTCTACCGACATAGCGAATAATAATCAATCAATTCTCTTTAAAATCATCAATCAATTCCCTTTAAAATCATATCGTTAGAAGCGAAATTAAATGTAATATCACATTATTTAATTAGTCTACTTTTATTTTTTTATTAATAATCTACCCGACCAACCTATTATTAATGATCTACTCAACCAACTTAACAATATAACGGTTTAAACTATTGAAATAAGTTTTAAAACGAACTCTCACAAACCTCACAACAATTACTATTATGTGATACTTAGAGTTGGTTTGACATAACTTATTTTAGTCTATCTTTTTATCTTTTTATCTTTTTTAGGTCACATCAATCAACATATTTTCTCTACTTTTCTACATATCTTTTTATAAAAATTCAAAAAGTACACTTATTTAGGACATTCTAAATCACCCCTTAAAGTAGCATCCGATTCCTCAAATTTTTGCCCATAATTAAAATATGTAAATAAATTTATTGTGAATACGATTCACAACGTACCAATTTTAAAATTACACTTTACATTCACTTTTATGGTAAAATTTTGGTCCTAATAGTTAGATTTAATTCTCATCAAGTCCTATTGAAAATAAATTTTGATAAAATTGACCTAAAAATATTTTTTTTGTGACAATTTTTTACATATGTCGTTAAAAATTGACAATTAGTGACTTTTTTTTTGTCATGATTTTTATAAATTGTCTTTAAAATTTACAATTAGTGACATTTTTTTATGACAAATTTTTCTCATATGACTTATTAGACAATAAAGTCTACTTATTAAGACTTACATATAAGTACCTCTTAAATTTTTATAGTAACTAGAATTATTGGGAAAATTTGTTGAGAAATCCATTAAATTGTAAGGAGGTGTATGGCATTGGGTGTAAGGATTGTTTTGTTGTAGGAGTTATTTAGCATCTTTGATATTAATATATATATTTTTTTATCTTTTTTGAGTCATATCATCTTTTTATTTTTCAGTACATATTTTCTTAAAAAATTAAAAAGTATACTTATTTAAATCATTTTAAACAATCCTTAGTTATAAGGAGATGATTAATAAAATTATATAGTGAGAAAGACAAATTTGTTTTGAAAAATAATATTTTCCAATTTTATCCACTGTTACCAGGCCATCAGTCATCAATGTCACCTAAAAAGTTTCCAGAAGGGGCTAGTGGTGGCATCTGGCGTTGGCTGGTGGTAGTAGTGATATGAACAAATAGACAGATTAGTTGGACAAATAAGTAACACTAGACATATAAATAAAATGGTAGAGAAATAGATTAAGTAATACAATTTTTTAAATTGTTATTGTCCTTAAGATCTCAAAGATTTAAAATTGAATTTATGGCTCGACTCCCGGAATCATTGATACAAATATTATTCAGTGCATAAATAATAATATAAAATATATTTGTGATATGACAGCGTTAATTACCCCCACAAAAATCAATAGATAGGAAATTAATTACATTATAAAAAATATGATAGAAGGATGATACTATGTTTTTATTGTTTTTTTCTCGAAACTGATTGGAAAGACCATTATTGCTATTCCTGATCATTGTATGAAACTTCTTTTCAGCAACTCGGTTGCCTGCTTCCTACTAGTGTTTGGGCGAGGATCCAGCAAAAGGACAATTAGTTAAAAATATTAAAAATAAAAAATAAAAACAAACAAACACAGGTACCAATAGAAAGATTAAATTGTATTGGATCAAATCAAATAGAATAGGGAATTGTTTAATCCGATATAAGTATAAATTAGATTTATATTTGTCGTAACTGAATTTTTGTTTTTAATTATTATTGAGAAAAATCTAAATTTTTTAGTAGTGACAAAAGAAATATTATTTATTTTCAATTATAGGATCAAATTTTATCATGTCTTTAAGCCTCCGTTTGGGAAGTGGGTTGGCTTTTTGACTTTTTTGGCTAATTTAGCCTGGGCTAAAAAGCTTGGTTTGGGAAGGGCTTTTTGGCTTTTTGGCTTTTTTGACTTTTTTTTGTGAGAGAAGAGTGTAATGATTATGGGTTGAATGTGATGTTTTGTTTTTTGTAGCTAAAATAGCCTATTTTGTCTTTTGTGGCTAAAATAGCCAAAAAAGCCCGGAAAAGCCCTTCCCAAACGGACCCTCAGATTTGGATCCAGGCTAGATAGTAGGAATCAAATATAGAAGAAATGAAAATCCTATCATGTTTTTAATGCAGGTCAAGCTTTAGGCTTGGGTTGGGCCGCCCGTCTGTTCATGCTGCGATCTCATCAAAAATTATGAAAAAGGAATAACAAAAAAAGTGAAAATGAACTTTAAAAAAAGAGTAAATTATCAAGAAGTCTTCTTTGAGAAACGTGTAGCCTATTTAGTCTTATAAGCTTTTGTTTTTACTCAAAAGTCTTATAACGTTTTTCCTTTTCTTCTTCTCTGTCTTTCTTCTTCTCTGCCTCTTTTGCTCTTTGTGATTTCCAGCGATTGTCTACGAGCAATCATGTAACACCCTCAAAATAAACTCATAATATCATACATTCACGATAAAGAAAAGAGATTTCATATTACAATCATCAGAGTATTCTTACAAAAGATATTACATGTTGACAACAAAAGTAAATGCCCTATACGTTTACAACTTTCCAAGTCAACACTTGGTTACAAAAAGGAGAGCACTAACTCTACACAAAATAAGCCCTTGGCTTGATATACATGTAATATAACAAAAACAACAAAAAAGGAGTCTAACAGTCTCAAGCCTTCCAAGCTACGTCCTTGGCGGCGGCATAACACCTGTACCTGAAAATGATGTCCCATATAGGGTGAGCCAACGCCTAGTAGAGATATGCTAAACATAATATGAGCAATAACTAAAACATTAGCATTCGATAAATGTTTAATTCATATAAACCAACTTATAACACATTTCAATTCCATGACAAATATGTCCATGTTTCGTTCCATTTTCCATTACTTATCCAGTTCTCAATTTATGAATAAGGCTCAAAACCTGGCTAATAATTTAATGAGATTATAACTCATATCAACAATACTTCCATTTCAAATGAGATAACAACTCATATTAAACACTTCCATACTTCATATATGATACACAGATTTGCTGTATCAATCGCAAATAAAACACTCCCATATTTCATATATGATACACAGATTTGCTGTATCAAAGGAGTCCATCCCCTATCTCCTCCCAAATATCTGGTTTAGGAGTCCATCCCCTATCTTCCCCTAAACCATGGAGTACATCCCCTATCTCTTCCCACATAACACAATGTATATAAGCATCTATCATATACATGTTCAACCAATACACAAATTTGATGTATTATTCCATTCATCATATTCAACGACATTCAACCGATTAGTTTTAATTCGCCTAATCGTCATGCAATATCTACAACAATCAAGACTATCCACCACCGATAGTCCAAAACAATTTGTTTCTAAACAGATAATAAATGCATCAATAGATAATTTATCAACATTTTTAATGGTGAGTGATTAATGAATCCAACTCCACCGTTCTACCTCATAATGAGCCAACTCCATTATTTCCATCCAATTTCATATTTCCATAATAAATGTCATTAATTACACTAATGACCCAAATATACCCAAACATGGCATTTTTTCCATTTTCTCAATATTGACCCAAAGGTCCAAATGTTATCAATAACATCAATAACCCCCTTTTTAGACCCAAAACACATAGGTTTGAATCAAACGAACAAAAACCCCCTCTTTCCAATATCACACATCTCAAACC